CGGCACTGGGAGAGAGGTCAGTAGGCTAGGCTGAATGACACCACTGCAACTGCTTGAGGGAGGGGAGAATATCAGAGACAGAGACAGAGACAGGAGATTCTAGTAAACTATAGCTTACTGAACAGCAGTAGCCAACTATTTCAATATGCCCCACTGTAGAACAGCAAGCGGCAGAATCCGTCTATCAGATCAGTGACAACTTCCAGAATCGACTAAACAGCAGCTCCTGTTTTATAAGCTTCTCTCTCCTAGTTTATTCACTGAACTTCTTTGGCTTTTATATATACAGCTCAAAATACCCCAGAAGGTAGTTTGTGTGGTGCCTGGATCCAGGGAAGTGGGGAAAAATCAGGCACAGAAGTGGCTACTTTCAGCACTGTCACAAGCAGCTGACAAATGTAGCAACTCAAAGTTACTGTGATGGAATATAGTGTTGAACTTCAAACATCAGGGTTTCATTGGGATGACATATTGCGGGAGGGGATGCAGTGCGATGGTAGTACACCCATGTTTTCTGTACAGTGTTCCAGGCTCAGTCCCTGGCATTGCCGGGTAAAAGGTAGCAGGTGCTGGGAAAAGTCTTTGTCTGATCTTGGAGTGCTGCCACTACCAGCCAGAGTGTACAATGCAGGATTAGATGGTCTGCTTCATTACAGGGTGGCTTCATATTGTTATATACTCCTCACTTCTGGAGCAGTCCTGAGAAGCTTCATTCCTTTTGGATGGGAGAGCTCTGAAGAATTATTTCGTAATATTTGCTTTATTTGTAAATACATATGCAAAGCAACTGTGGGGGGCAAGTAGACTTCTAAAACTAGGCAATAGATCCCCAAAGAACAGCTTGTCATCCTAGGGGCTTCACCTCCAGTTTCAGCAGCTAGGTCTTTAAGGCCGATTTGTACATTACAAAGTCCACATGCCAGATACGTGGACTGTTGACAGATGTGGTGTGGGAGGTCTCAGTCAGGAACATAATTCCCAATCGTAGGTGGGAATAGTGCACAGAATCTTATCAGTAAAATATAAAAGTGAAATCGTATACAGCATGGAGCAAGAATTTTGTATGATCCCATTTCTTGTAGATTCCAGTTTTTCCTTGTAAAATTCATTTGCTCCTATTCTAGCTTTTGGAATGTCTGTGGCTAATACTGAACTCTGCTTATGCCTACCCATCTTCCTCTCTTGGCTTGTGTAAATGAAATTATAACATTTCATTGTGTCATTCTGGCATTTTATTGGTTTGTCATGTGAAATTAGTGTGTCTGAAAGCAACCTTATCTGTAGGCAAGGACACACTAGAAGAATGCAGTAAGAACGGGTAAACTTATGCTATGTCAATTCCATTTTTAATTTTTTAGTGACAAACATTATTGCCTGAAGCAAACTAGTTTTCGGACTAAGAATACTAATATATGATCCATTAAAAGTAAGAAGCACACAATGAATTATAAGCTTTCATGAGCAAACTTGTTCCATGAATTTGGCAGTTTTGTCTATAATTTCTTCATTGCCCAACTAACATAAATAAAAAGCCAAACAATTGTTATGTGGGGCTGTTCTCCCAACATTTTATTTGACTGAGCCATAGTCAGAGTCGGGGAGCAGGGGAAAGACAGGGTATTTGCCCTTTCTACCCTATGCTGGTTTCCTGATCAAAATGCCCCCCAAGCTAGGGAACACAATGTTGTTTGGGAATATGGTGCAGGGGGGTAGGTTAAGCATTACCCCACCACTGCCAGTGCTTGGAATAACTGTGATGGATTGCCTCTAAAAAAATTTGATGCAGTTATTTTTTCTTTAAAAAAAAAGAAATCCATCACAGATCACCGGTGTAGTCTCCCCCAATATCTCAATTCAAGCGATTTGCTGATGGAGCATTTCTGATATAGCTCCAGGCAAGGAATGCTAGATTTGATCTAGGAAGATTTTTAGCTTAGTTTCTAGGTCAGGTAGCTGAATTCCTAGAACACATTTCAGACAAACATCTGGATCTTGAGATGCTCCTTTGAACTCTGGTACAGCATCTTTTGAAAATATATCCATCACTAGGCAGGTTGGTGAAGATATTTGAAATCTTTTTCACAGGTAAAAAAGGCAGTGATATATTATTATTAGGGCCAGAATGGTGCACCAAGAGAAATAGACACAGCTTAAGGGGCTTATCAGCTGACTCGTCTTAAACACTCTTGGAAGGGGTTCAAGGTAAGGGAATGTTAAGAATTACATGGGCCAAGAAGTATCAGCTGATGAGCAGAAGACTTTTTGATTACTCTGTAAATACTGTCAGAGATAACTGACAACATAAAAAAAAAATCAAACATGACACCTCATGAGCAGTGTTTTCACAGTATTACGTTGCTGTTTGACTAATCACAGCAATGCAATGTGGTATATTCAATTTTTTAAAACACAACTTTCAGAGGTTGGCTTTTTGGGGAGTGAACTTTTGCATTATGGGAAGTTATTAACTGGTGCAAAGAGAATGTCTGAAGTCATTAACTAAAGAAATTAGCTAGTTATCAGATCAGAGCAATTAATTACCAAAACAAAAGAATGTCAGAAAAAAAGGCTCTTTCTTGGTGGGATGTAAAACTGTCCCTAGGCTGCATTCATACAGGCAGTTTGATCCATTGCCCTTGCTGTTCTCTTATGGACTTAAAGTGAACGATCAGACAGCAACATCTGTCTGTCGATTCCCAGTTGTTCGAGTCCCCTTCCCCCCTCCTTGCTGCATGTTTCTTTGATACCTGAGAAAGTCCAGTCTTGTTGGTCTGAGCTGGTTCCAAAACAGATTTCCTGCTTTCTGATTGCACTCTTGCGCACCCAAGCCATCAGGCAGGTCTGACTGGTCCCTTGTTTTCCGTCTGCCATTAAAAAAAAGTAGTTAGTGATGTGCGCACAACTGCTTATTCGCACTTCTCTTCCCCACCTCTGCAGGGTCTGCTCAAAACTTTGTTTTCTTTTAAAAAACCTTAAAAGAAAGACACCTCAGTTCTTCAGCTTTTTTCTGTTCTTTGGGGAAGGTGTAAATTGAAAAGATTAGAGGGAGGACAGCAGTGAACTCCGTATCCCAGCATTCTTAGCAAGCATTTGTGCGATTGCTCAGAGGGCAAACTTGTAAAAAAAATGGCTGACAGCCCCATGAACTACATATCCCAGCAGGCTCATCTGTGCTTGTGGGTATGCGCCGAGGACCAACTTTTTGAAAAACTGGCCGACGGGCTGACTCCACGCCTGCTGCCAGCTGATCACTCCAGGGCCACTAGAAGCGGTTTGAAGCACGCTAAAAGGGGTGAGTCTGATCATGATTCTCTGGCACAAAATAAACTGGCTCAATTAGAGGCAGGGCAACAGTGCCTGTCTGAATGCATCCCTAGAGTGTTAGTTCTCCAGACTTCAGGCTTATGTGGTTGAATGTTCTTCCATGCAAAAAAATTCTCTGCCATATATATATATATATATATATGAGAACATTTCACTTGCAGTCTGGTACAGATATATATTTACTTTCTCAGTAAAAACAGACTTCAAGGAGATCAGGTAAGGGATGTGTCAAGGAGATGAAGTAAATGGTCCAGAAAGATGTAATTTGTGTTAGATGGGTCAAGTGTCAAAAATCCAGGCCATCATTCTAGCCATAGTCTCAGCATGCTTCTACCTTATTTCCATTTAATTTGGCTGTTTGTGTAGATTAAGCCTTCTTGTCATGGAACTGCTCCTAAATTCTAGGAACTTTAGTGTAGCTTCTTGTTGTAGAACTGTTCCTATTCTAGGAACTTTAGTGTACGTTGTAGTATCCCTCTGTTCTGCCCAGCCTGTTGGTTGCCCTTTACTTCCCCCTGCCTTTGTATTGTCTACCTAAGTCAGAGTATCTGAATTGCTTCTCATCATAAATCAGATCACTTGCTGGCACTGCCCTCTCTGGTACAACCTCACCTGTGATGGAGGGTTCTTCCTTAAACTATGGAGTTGGTCCTGAAATGACCTATGCTGCCAAACCTCTGAAAACTCAGTGGGGCCTGACTGACATGAGGTGAACATTTGAATATTCTTTCTAATTACTGTATATCTGGGAAACTGTAACCATATGATCGGAGTCCATTAAAATATTTTTTATTTACTACGAATAGGTGTTGATACTATTAATTTATAGACTAGTCCTGTAGGCAGGGGAAGTGATGGTGCATTGCTGTACTAGTTTTGAATGCAAGTTGAAGTGCAGTTTATAGATCATAGGAGGAGAATGTTTCTAACTACATTGGTGAAATCAGTGCTACGTTTTATTGAAGGCCCTTCTGTAGGGTTGCCAGTGGGGAATGGGGGCATAAGGTTGCCCGATTCAGGTTGGGAAACTCCTGGATGGAGCCCAAGGAGGACAGGGACCTCAGTGGGGTACAATGCCATAGAGTCCACCCTCCAAAGCATCCATTTTCTCCAGGGTAATTGATCTCTGTGGTTTCTCCAGGGGGAATGATCTCCAGGTCCCACCTGGAGGCTGGAATGCTTACCCTTCTGCCTTGATTAAATTGCAATGGGAAGGGAATAACTTGTTCAAACGTAAAAATAAACCAGAAGAAAACAAAAACCCATGTTTTCTAATACCTAGAACAAAAAGCAGTTTTCCTGCACTGTTCTTTGTATTATGCTGGTAACCATAAAACTGTTATATTCAATCATTGTATTTTACTCTCCTTTAATCCAAACTGGCTCCCAAAGCAATTATAAACCAAGGCTTGAGCCAGACATGATGTGAGGATTCTGGCCCCTCCCTTTTCTCCCCCTGATGGCAGTCAGTGCCTGAGAGCAAGGGGTGGGCTCTTGGCTGGATCCAGGCATGACGGAGGGTTGCTTGGCTGTTTCCTTTTCTCCCTCTCCCTCAGTCACTGCTGACAGTAATATCAAAGAGGGGGGATTCTAAAGACACTTCTGTTTATAGGACATGCAGAGTTAAATTGATATATATAGAGCTTCTATGTTCCCCCACATTTTTTTTTAAATAGGGCAATGCAACCAGATATTCCCACCTCATTTTGGCACATCCCAGATAATCCATGGCAATGGCACCACCATCGGCACAGTCTTGGCGTTCCAGTGCTCTGCAGAACACCAGCTGATTGGGCAAAGAGTTGTCACGTGCATTTGGAAAGGAAATGAAACTCACTGGACAGCAGACATTCCTGCGTGTAAGCGTAAGTATTTTTTACCAAACACTTTGGTTGGTTCTTTGCTGTATACTATACCACCGGCAGAGCTAGTGTTGGTGGATGCAACGAGGCAGAGTAGATTTCATTCCTTATTGTTATAAAGGAAAGGCTTTTGCGCAGTTTCACACTGGATAAAATGTCACTGATTTTAATAAAATTACTGCAGAAGCAGTTCGGGGGGGTGTCTAAGACACACTTGATGCAATTGCTCAGATGATTGCAGATCAGACCAATAAGTCTGCTTCCTTTGTGTAATACATCTGTGAAGAGCCTTTTTTATTTAATGCCACACTTTTGAAAAATGATTGATCTGAACATAAAGAACTTTGGTGAAGTGCAATTAGGCTATTGCCTGTGGATAGCCAAGAAAAGCAGCTATCATATTGACAAATAGGGCTTGAATGGCAACAATATTAGCTGCTTCTCACTCTGTACTTTTCCTTATTTATTACATCAGTGACAGTAATCACACTGGATGGGGGCAGGAGGGAGAAGCCTCAAGCTAAACCCAAAGTGTTCCGCGTACAGCAGATATAGAGCTCAAGGAACCCTTAAGAGATCCACATCTAATTTTAAAATGAGAATTGTTTGGAGTGACTTGTCTGCTCCCCTGAAATTGCTTGTCCAACTGAATTATAATGGCACATATGGGTTAAAATTGTGTGTCTATCACAGTAAACAGCTGACAGTAGACAACTGTACATCTGTAGTGTTTAAGCTCAATACAAAGACATCTTAATAAAACTATAAAATATTTCTTTTCTGTATTAAAGTCTTGCTATCCAGTTGTTTCAGTAAATGTCCAAACATCAATTCTTTGCCTAGTGCCAGTGTGGCACAGTGGTTAAGAGTATCAGACTGGAATCTGGGAGATCCAGATTTGAATCCTCACTCTGCCATGGAAGGTTGCTTGGTGATCTTGGGCCAATTACACACTCAGCCTGACCTTCCTTACAGGAGTGTTGTAAGGGTACAATGGAGGAGGGGCAAACAATGGATGCTGCTTTGGCAGGGTATAAATGAAGTAAATCTAAACCTGTGTGGTTCTCGTTACCATGATACATTAAACTGTGGCACCTTTCCTGTACCAAATCACCCTTGTTTTTAAACACTTTTGTGTAAACTTGAAAGACAAAATACCCTAACAGCTTTTCAATCTGCAGTAAGGTCCCCTTCGGGTTGTCATCTTTTTGCTAATCCTGTTCCTGGGACTTTAACAGTAGTCCAGCATACAGACATTTGTGGATGATGATTAATTACAGGCATGGAAATCAAGTGATGGACTAATGGCCTTTAGCGTTTTTCCTGCACATCAGGCTGCTCTTGAAAGTAGGGTGTGTGCAAAAAACCCAGTATTTTTCAGGTATCTTGGAAAAAAACACACCCCAATATTGGTATTTTCTGATATTCCTGAATCCCAATACCGGTTTGGTATTCAGAGTCAGGATTTTTCAGAAATCCTGGGGGGGGGGGGGGGGGGGTCTTCTATCCCCTTGTTATACCCTATGGTGACCATTATATTCAGTGTTCCCCACAGGGTATAATGGGGAATTGATCTGGCGGGGGGGGGGGGCTGGTTTTTGAGGTAAAGACAGGGGGCTGGTTTTTGAGGTAAAGGCACTGAAGAAGGTTCCCCCATCCTCTGTTGGTTTCAGTGAAAGAGAAAAGCCACTTAAAGGGATTGTGATCCCTTTAAATCCCTTCTGCAAGCTGCAAGTGAACTCCAAAGGTGTTTAAAGGGCTCACAGTCCCTTTAAATGCTTTCTCCAAGCCACGAGTTCACCCAGAAGGTGTTTAAAGGGACTGTGAGCCCTTTAAACAGCCTTTAACTTCAGCTATCCAGTGCTCCTAGGGCTCGGTTATCTCAGCTGGAAAAAAGACTATATTCAGCTGAAAGAATAGCTTTTCGACTCAGATAATGCATGCCTCTGCTTGATAGCACAAGAGCCCAGCTTTGTGGAGGAGTCATCCAGAATGCCTCATTGTGTGTTCTTGATGGACCTTAGTTTATTGGCTGCAGCAAATGATCTCTTGCACCTGGAGATGTTTCCCCTCCATCTGATACTTAGGTAAAAGCAGAGATGTCCTTAAGAATTAGGGCATCATGTTAAGGACAGTATGTTAAGATACTAGCCCTATTCTTGCTCTTCTTAAGGGAGCTCTTGGACTAAACATCTCTCTGATCTCCTGTCCCGCTTGGCCCGATGCCTGTCAAACCCAGAACAGCATGTCCTCTCTGTGCTTCTCGAGAAAGCTTATTAGCAGACTGTGTCTTGCAGTTTGCTCTGAGGCCAAGCCTGGTGAACAAGTTAAACCACCTCCTTCCTATCACTGTGTCCTTTGGATTGTTTTGTTCTTCACCCATCCTTTATCCTCCACACTGTTCCTAAGCGGCATCAACGTGTGCACCAAGAAGGCACTCCGCAAAGAAAACCCTTTGCATCTCCTGCTGCAAATTTAGCTGCAGGCACCACTGTATTGCATGGCATAGTGGAAAGACTGACCCTGGTGCTGCGTATTTGAAATGTAAACAGAAACCCATTAAATATTGCCTGCCAGGTAGGGTATTAACTTACAGAGCCATCCAACCATTAACTCATCTGGCATTCCAGAATGCATTTTTTCTTTCTTTTTTTCCTTGTTAAATGTACTGCTTTGAGTTTATTGGTCTGTACCTCGGGTCTAAAAAACGCAGTCACTGCAAAACTGAAGACAGCCTTCTAGCTCTTTATGGTTCTCCACAAACGGGCTTTTATCCCTTTTGTTTTCCCTGCCTGCAAACAGGGACAGCAAGAACAGGGAAGTTGTTGAGCACTTAGCAAACCGCAACACTCAGCTAGTAAGCGGCATTTGGTTTGGTGGGCCACCACTTGGCAGCCCTAACATCCCAAGATGGTTGTCTTCCCTCATTCTTGTCTGCTTAAAACTGGATTAATTGTGATGCCAAGTTCCTTGTGAGGGTTTTACTGCTAATTTTTAAATAGGACACTTTAAAATAGTCTACTTTGAGACATGTTCCTGGATTGACAATTTCGACCAATACCTACTCAAGTCAAAGGTTTCCTGCTTCACTATTATAACCATTATTCTTGGCAGCAGGTACATTTCAGTGTGGATGTCAATCTATGTTTGTGTTTGCTTTGTTCCAGCCATATCCAAATTTGAAACCTTTGGATTTAAAGTTGCAGTGATTGCCTCCATTGTCAGCGGTGCTATTATCCTGTTGATGTCTGTGGCTTTTTTAACCTGTTGTCTTATCAAATGTGTTAAGAAAACTGAGAGAAGAAGAGCTCAAAGGTAAATCAGGTCTAACAGGAAAGGTCATTTAAGATGACCAAGGGCTTTAAGGTGACATCGATGTACAAACCCTATGAGAAGCAGATTGTTGATCCCCCCCTCCCATTTTCTCTTTCGCTGTACATTTATTTGAAAATAGGGGACATCTGGCCCAGGACATGGGAATGACACACTGTGGAGAGGTTTTCAAGAGTGCATGTTACCTCAAGATCACTTACTATAAGGTAAGAACAAAGTTTGAATCCAGTGGCAACTTTAAGACCAACAAAGTTTTATTCAAGGTATGAGCTTTCATCTGCATACGCACTTCTTCAGAGACAATGAAATGGAAGTTACCAGTCCATACATATAGGTAGAGGGTGAACAGTAAATTAGCACACAGCATAATGAAGAAGTTTAACAGAGTCAAGGACCAAACAAGAATAACAAGCTTAGTTTATATGGTCCTCTTTATTTTATTTCTTGTTTGAAATAATAGATTAGAATACTAGATTGTAATGTAACATAATGAATAGCAGAGGTCATTTGGGGCCGGAGTGCCGGAGCACTGCTCCGGCAGCCCAGGAGTGGGTGCAAATGGTGGTGGTGGCAAGCTCCACCCCCAGCTCCCCGCACCGAAGCGCTGTGGCCCAGGGGAGGCCTGGAGAGCCCCGCAGCCGGTTTTCCTGGGCCCGCACCGAAGCGCTGCGGCCTGGGGGGCTCTGGAGAGCCCTGCAGCTGGCTTTCCTGGGCCCACCCAGAAGCGCTGTGGCCCAGGGGGGCCTGGAGAGCCCCACAGCCAGCTTCCCCGGGCCCACCCAGAAGTGCTGTGCCCCAGGGGAGGCCTGGAGAACCCCACTTCCGGCTTCCCCGGCCCGCGCCGAAGTGGTAAGTAAGGGATCTGTGGAGATGGGGGTGGCGGGGGCCTGATGGGGGTATAGGGTTGCCAAATCTGAAGTTCTTACCGGCGGGGGATCGTCCGGCCGTCCCTGGAGCTGCTGGGGGATGCGCGCGCTGCCATTTGTTTTCCCCTCAAATGGCGTGGCTCCGCCCCCAGCGTGAGACGTCACTTCCGGGTGACGCGCACGCGGGGGTGGGGTTTCCCCCGGGCCCCAATTTCGGCACGCCGGGAATCGGGGCTCCGAAACGGGGGATTCCCCGCCCCCCAGCTGCATTTGGCAGCCCTATGGGGGTAGGTGGTGGGAGAGCCTCCCTCCCTCCCCTCATCTCTTTGCCATTTCCCCCTCCTTTCCCTCTCTCCCTCCTTCTTCCCTTCTCTCTTTTTATCCCTTCTTTCCTTCCTTCTTTCCTTCTCTTTCTTTCCCTCTTTCCTTCCTTCTTTCCTTCTCTCTACTCCCTCTCTTTCCTCCCCTCTTTCCTCCTTCTGTGGCCCAACTAAACTTTAAACCCCTTCTCTCTTCGCTTCCCTCCACACACATGCAGGCCAGCTGGAGAAGGGAAGGGGAGGCTGTTGAAGATGCCTTCCCCCCTTTTTTGCTTTCCTTTCTGACATCACTTCCAGTGATGTCAGGGTGTGCGACATATGCTAATAGCCTAGTAGCTCATTAGCATACCGCATGCCAATGAGCTCCTGCAGCTCTTTTTCTATGAAATGACCCCTGATGAATAGTAGAATGTAATGTAATTTGGAATGGTAGATTGGAATGTATTTCTCTGGTCTGGGGACAGGGGAGATAACTCTACACAGCCAATTGCCCCACTTCAAAGAAGAAGATGCTTTAAGGTCGCCTCCATGCTTGAGAGGAGACGGATGGAGTGTAATGATAGGGTCTCAGTTAATTATTCTCAGCATTCCACAATTAAGGATACATCTGCCCATCAGTCTCCAATTCTGACATATTTATTTTCCTTCACTATGTTTCCCCCCAGAATTAAACCCAAGCAAATGGTAACCATATAAACTAACCTTGTTATTCATGTTTGGTCATTGACTCTGTTAAGCATTTTCATTATGCTGTATGCTAATTTGCTGATAATTTCCATTTCATTGTTTCCAAAGAAGCGTGGATGCACACAAAAGCTTGAATAAAACTTTGTTGGTCTTAAAGGTGCCACTGGGCTCAGACTTTGTTCTGCTGCTTCAGACCAACACGGCTACCCCACCTGAATTTATTATAGGGTAGTTGTTTTAGAATATGCCCTGTTGCTTTGCTTCTGCAGTTGTATGGTCTTCATATTTTAAAAGGCCACTCAAAAATACCTCCAAAAAGAAATTTCAGATGAATATCATGTTATAGAACAACAACAAGGTTTTTTTTCCCCATTTTGTTGTTCCAGTCATCTGCAATAAAAGCTGCTGTTTTATTAAGGAGTAAATACTATATGTTAAGCAGTAGTTAATGTTAAATATTCCAAATATAAATATAAGGGCCTGTAGTGGGAGAACGTAATTTGAATTGTTCATGTCAGGTAACAAAATGCCTAAATTGAAGAAAAGCCATGAAACTAACTGACATTAATATTTTTGCCTTGAAAAAACCAGTGACTGCAGCACAGACAAGCAGATCAGAAAGATTCAGCTATATTTCTCAGCTAAAATACTATAATCAACATAACAACAATACTTTTGTCTTTACTCATCATGAGAGGTTTATTAGACTTCCCTGAAATAAAAATTATTATTTTGTATCAACTGATTTCTTTTTTCTTTTTTTAAAAAATATCTTACCATTTAAGGGGATACAAAATGAAAAAGGACAAAGGGAAAGGTGAGAAGCATAAAACACCATATGTTAAACACATTTTAGGACACTGAATAATATAGGAATATAAAACATGAAAGAGTATCATAGCAAAGAATATCATAACAAATCAAAATATGGTAAAAGAATCCAGACTTCAGCATAATATCTTTCCATGTATATTTCCATTATTTCCTAGGCAGAAAAACATATAAACAAGAAACATAAGAAAATAGTAAGAAAACATTTTTTTATATACAAGGCTAATACTACCATACAATAACCAGTGAATATGTAACTATAAAAGATCAATGAATATAACTACGAGAATATAATTATACAGTTTTGAGTATTAATCAATTTCAATTTATAACTCCTCTAACAGCTTTATCTAATCTATATAGTTTGTCTGTAGTAATTATGAAAGGCTCTCCAACTGATTTCAAGTGTAAGAGATTATGGCATAATCCACTCCCTGCCACAAGCTTTCTGTACCCACACTGGCCAACAGTATTTGTACGTGCTGTTATATGGTCACAAGAATTAAGTGTGAGAAGTAAAAAAGAAAACCCCTGCTTGGCTTTAAAATGAGTGACTTTTCCTGCTGTGGTAGTAACGTTACTGTTGTTATTATGATAATAAATACTGAAGACAAGAGCAGGAAATGCTCCTGAAATTGCCTGCTTTTCGTATTTTAAAGATAAGTTAAATTTAAAAGTTGATCATTGGTTCTGAAACTACCCCCTCCTAGTCCTCCTCCCAAAATTTGAAATGGCGCATTGTGGATACACATGGCAGGTCCCTCCACCCCTGCCCTCACCTTGGCCACTGTAATATTTACAAGCTCTTCTGTGATTCAGAGCCACTTCCAACATAACAGCAGTCATCGCAGTTTTTAGCACATGTATACAGGCAACCAGATGTTATGGTCAACATGCATGCTCTTACTGCACAGGAATGTTCTATTAAGGAGGTTGTTGCTTATGTTTGCACAAGTCCCACAAACTGCTCTTGTATCAGGTGGACCATCTCCAGCTCTGGGTTAGGAATTTCCTGGAGATTTGGAGGGTGAAACCTAGGGAGGGCAGGGTGTGGGGAAGGGACTGATCTCATCAAGGTATAATGCCATAAAGTCCATCCTCCAAAGCAGCTATTTTCTCCAGGGGAACTGATCTCCGTTACCTGAAGATCAGTTGTAATTCTGGGGAGATCTCAAGACCACAGCTGGAGGCTGGCAACCCTACCTGAGGGATGGGTAAATATAATTAGCAGCGCCGGCCTGAGGGGTTTTTTGTGCCCTAGGTGAAGTTACCTTCTGGCGCCCCCGTGCCCAGTTACGGGGTTGCCAACCTCCAGGCAGGGCCTGGAGAGAAGGAAATCCAACTTCTCTCCCCCCTTTGGAGAGGTGGGGAGGGGAGTCCCGGGCCAAGTCCGTGCGCCCCCCCAGACCAGCTGGCCCCTCCCTCGGCTGCCTCCCCTCCCATCGGCCCCCAATCCACTGCAGGTTTACTCGGAAGGAGGTCCCCCGTCATGCCATGGGACTCACTCCCAGGAAAATGCCCTCTTAGGACTGCAGCCGTGATGCATCTGAATGCCAAGAGGATCTGGGGTGGAGGTTCCATTTGCTTGCATTTTAATTTTTTGGACAAAACTCCCCTCGAGGAGCAAGCCTGAGCCAAGTGGACATCTCGGGTGACTCCGAGGGCGCTATTGAAGCGGCACCGGCCCCTTTAAGAGAGCTGCTGGGCGGCAGGAGGGGAGGAGGGGGAGAGGCGATTCTGTTGCAAGCCAAAGTGCAGCTGTTTGTTTGGTGCGAGCCCAAAAGCTGCTGGGAGCCTTTGGGGGGAGGGAGAGGGTGGTGAGCAATCTCTTCCAGAGCTGCGGCAGCAGCAGCGAGAGCTTCCAAACTCAAGAATGAGGAGCTCAAAGTTGGTGCGTTGCAAATGCAAAGGCGGTGCGAAGAGACGGAGGCGCAGGAGCTGGATTGGAAGTTGCTTTTGCTCCCCAGCCTGAGGCCAGACATCTTAAGCAAGTGAGGAGGAGGCGCCGAGGTTTCCGGGTACCCAAAACAAAACACCCCGCGTTTGCATTTACAAAAGCCGACCCTAGCTGGAGGGGGAAGGCGAAGTGGCCTTGCAGTCCCGTTTTGCGTCCCCCCATGCCACAGCTGGGAGCAGCAATGGCGTGCGGGCTTTTGGCAGGGGGGAGGCACAGTTGGATGCCCCATCCAGGGCCTGGCGCTCTAGGCGAATGCCTAGTTCGCCTAGTGGGTGAGCCGGCCCTGATAATTAGAAGTGGTAGCTGGAAACAGACGAAAAGACAAATGGAGGAGGTTGGGGGGGTCATGATTACTCTAAGTATATGAAGGGCTGTCGCTTAGAGGAGGGCAGGGAGCTGTTCCTCTTGGCAGCAGAGAGCAGGACTCACAATAATGGGCTTAAATTAAGGTTTAAATTAAAGAAGGTACTGGCTGGATATTAGGAAAACCTTTTTTACAGTAAGAGTTGTACAGCAGTGGAATCAGCTGCCTAGGGAGGTGGTGAGCTCCCCCTCACTGGCAGTCTTCAAGCAGCAGCTGGACAAGCACTTGTCAGGGATGTTCTAGAGTCTAGGCTGATCCTGCATTGAGCAGGTGGTTGGTCGAGATGGCCTGTATGACCTCTTCCAACTCTGTGATTCTATTATTCTAAGTGGGTGTAAAAAGTGAGGCATTCCATGCTAGTGGGCTTTTCCACATTCTCATGTTCTTTGCTCCTTCTAGAGGTTGATTCAATATCACACAAATTTATGTCCCACATTAAAACCTGCAGTTTAAATCTGCAGGAGATAGGCTGGAAATGACTGTGTGATATCAAATCGACCACTAGAGGGAGCAAAACACATATGGAAGAGGAACCCCCCCCCCCTCAAAAAAAACAGAAACTTACCAGCGAATAAAATGAGAATGTGGAAAACACCAGGGTTGCCACACTGTTGTTTTTACAAGTGTATAGACCACTACAAACACTTAAATCACATCTCATGTTCTGCTACTCCTTAAAATGGTGTCTGCTTTTCCAGAGATATGCAGCTGTGGTACCAGCTCAGAACTGAAGAACTGGAAACCATGCAAGCTGCCTACTTTGGTTTTAAAGGCAGAAACAACAACAACAACAATAAGAAAACGAAGAAGAAAGATGGATTTGGTGATAGTTTTAACATGGCCTATGACAACCAGGGCTTCTGCAGGTAAGATCACGACTGTATCGTGTTAAGTTGCATTTTCCATATGTTATTTATGGGGTTGTTTGTCATGAAAGGAGACTGCTGGAAGCAGATGTTCAAGTGCTATACAGGATTGAAAACTCTGATTTTCGGCCAAGTCTATTAACTCTCCATCATATGTACAATTATTACTATCTAGGCTTCACCCTGTAGAGTGCTAAAATACCTTTGTCATTCCAGGCATTACTAGATGGCTGGTTTTCAGTACAGATACCATACTGCAAAATGAAACCTTTGATCATTCTCAGTTTTGCTCATTCAGCCCTTGCCTGTATGTAGTGAGTCACTGGTTTAATTCAGTGATACCATTTTAGTGAGCATGGTACACTTTAGTGTGTATTGTGCATTATTTTTGAGTAATGCCCCCAAAGTAAAGTACAGCCTCAAGCATGTATACATTGGCACTAACTAAGCAGAGCTAGGAGGTAGCTGAATTTGGTGCACCACCAGAAAATGCACCCTTATCGGATTCTTCGACCAGTTGCAGGCATGTCATTTTTGTTTCCCGTCTCCTGGACTGCAAGGTATATGTACTACAAGAGATGCATAATGCAGACGTCCTGATAGAATCTGCAGCCTTTCACATGTATGTTCTCTTTGTCCAGGGAGTCCAAAGTCACATGGGGATAAAATATTCAACAACTGTAAATGTCAACCGGGCAAAGCATCTGGAAAGAATGAGCAAGCTGTCCTTTATACTTTTGTGCTGCCGTACCAGTTCATCTGCTAGGCAGATTTCTTGTTTGACACTTGCGCGTGGGAACACAAACCGGCCAAACAACCTGTCTGCAGAACACCGCAACAGCCTTTTGCTTGACATCAATTACGCTCTATGTCTTCCATACCTTGATAATTAGCCAGGCCAAGCTTTAGTGCCTCAGAGCAATGGTCTCAGTGGGGGTAACCTCCCTCACTTTCATTTAGTGGTTCAATATGTAGAGTCATCTTGCTGACTATTAAGATGTGTCACAAGCTGGCACTCAACAGCAATATGCACGGCTCATAGTTTTTCGGGGAAGGAGACCTGTTGAGAACAGCAGGGAGCTGAGCTGTGGAGCTACCGATAGTGGAAGCAGGGGCTGATAGAGCCCCAGTACATCAGTTGTATATTGTGCTCTGCTTTCCAATTTATTACTGCTGCTTTGTGCTGCTAGCGATAAGAAGAAGAATAACCGTAAAAATGGCAGCTGTGTGTTGTAATAAAACACAGACTGAGAACTAGGAGGGGATCCTGTAAATAAATGTGTTACTTTAGGTTAAGCTCCATCTAGATAGACAACCGAATGAGGCTAATGGTCCAATCCTATGCATCATTTCATTCCCCCTAGGCAGCTAAAATAGTACCAGTGAAGCACAGCTGTCCACATGCTTTACCATTTACAGGAAACCTTTGAACTGAAGTTTCTGGTTTGTGCAACACTCGGGCTAAGGGAAAGTTAGGACAGACAGCCCTTGAAGTGAGGCAGAAAGTGGGGCTTCCCTCATCTCATGCCTGCGCCTCGGCCTCATGAGCACGACTTCAGATTCTGCAGTGGAAGCCTCTGTTAGTTCTGCCGAAAACAAAGCAGCCCTTAGGATGAGTTCGTTAGTTCAATCCATAGTCCAGCAGGATCATAACCCACTAGAAGTTGTTGATTGACAGTATTTCCTTTGAACCTCCCAGCCATACAAATAGTTCTCCTGAACAACGTTTTGGTCCTTTTCTCAGTGATGGCCCACCAGCACAGATCTATCACGCTGGCTTATGGGAAGCAGGAACAGGGCCACTCTTTAGGAGCAGAATTTAGGAGACTGTGGACTCTTCTGCATTCTCATTTTCCTTGTTTGAGTGTTCCTGTTGCTTCCCCCCTCCATTTTCCTCACATGTTTTATTCCCTCTAGTGGTCAATTTGGTATTAAATCTGCAGGTCAAGTGGTTAAGACGCTGAACTGCAGGCTGTGGAAGGTCAGTAGTTCAGCAGAGACCCGAGTGTGCAGCATGACGGAGTGAGCTCCCGTCTCTAGTTCCAGCTCCTGCCAACTTAGCAGTTCAAAAGCAAGAAATTGCAAGTAGATAAATAGGTACCACTTCGGTGGGAAGGTGACAGCGTTCCGTGCGCCTTGGTGTTTAGTCAGGCCGGCCACATGACCACGGAAACATCTTTGGACAGCGCTGGCTCTTCGGCTTTGAAACGGAGATGAGCACCGCAACCCTAGAGTCGGATTCGACTGGCTTTCGAGCAAGGGAACCTTTACCTTTACTTCATGGCAGACTTGCAGCAATGTAATATTGAATTGACCACTAGAGGGAGCAAAACATGTGTGGAAAAGTAAAGAAAACCTGAAGCAATAGGAACACACAAGTGAAGAAAACAAGAACGTGGAAGAGCCCTGTGTCTATTTGTTTTGCTCATTGGTCATCCATTGACTGGGATGGGGAGTGGAATGACTATTTTGCCCTTTGATGCCTTATAATGTCATAGACATTGTTCTCACAGTGCTTAGATTTAATACATTATAATGTATGATATAATTTTCTTTGCTCATTGTCCATGCTGTATACAGTCTTCGCTGGGTGTTATTTTCTTGATTTACAATTATTTACTTTCTAGTTTATCGCTAGGTTAACCAGCGTTATGTTCCTGGGGAAAAAATGAAAACAGTAAATAAAGTCTAGCAGCTATTTAATCAATTTTTGAGCTTTAAGGGATTTGATTGAGAGTTATATAGCTAATTACACAGTGATTACACCCAAAGGCACTTTGTCAAAAGGATTAAGAGCCAGTTTTTAATACTAGACACCTGCATGCTACTAAGTGCTGACTCAGGATGAATATGCAGTCAATTTAGTTTTCTGGTACCCTTTGCTTTCGTTTTCCTGCTAGTTCTTTTAAATCTAAACATTAATCATGAAATGTATCATCTAGCAAGTAGCGTGTAGTTATTTGTTCCCCTAAAGCTACAAAATACTTTAAAAAACTCTTCTTTGTGTTAGTCTCTATGGAGCAGAAACAGTTTGACTATGTTTGCAAAGGACTGTGTATCCAAGTTTAGGTGGTGTTTAGTTAAATGTGAATTTACATATGTAAATATTTAAACAAATAGTTTATCTTGGGTGAGTGGTTAAATTTTTATTTACCTCAGTGCATACAAAGATCTGGGGAGCTGTTTATCAGAAAGTATGCTTTATTGAGGAATTAGATATATATTGGCCTTGGTCACATGGGAGGTTTTGCCCCACAAGAGGGATGGATCTGGGTGCACAAACGGGCACGATCACACCGCAACTTCTGGGAAGCGGAGCGCACCCGTCCCCGATACGTCCTTTCCGGGCGAAACCTCGCATTAAAAAAAAACCTAGAAAAGACTACTACCTACCTGAAGCTCCGCAGCAAGGGCAGCCGTGAGATCGCCAACGCGCCTGTCTTCCGCAGCATTCAAGGCTCCCGGCCAAACTGCGCATGTGCACACATGCGCAGCCAGCTGCCTCGCTCTCCGTTCCGTGGCTCCCCCCCCCAGGCATCTGATCATGCCGGGGATCAACTGCACGGCGGCTCAAGGGATTTGTCTGATCCCACCACTGCACGTCTATTTTGCTGCGGCTCAGAAAAGCCGCGCTTTGGCCGTGCTCCCCCCCCCCGTGTGACCGGGGCCATTGTAAGGATAACTGTATCTCTGGGGGCAAGTTGGGCTCCTTCCTCTTGTTTACCTGGGCCCGTTCAATTCATCTGTGGCTCTTGTTAATTTGATCCAGGTAGCTCCATATCTGCCCTGACTTGGATAGTCCAGGCTAGCCTAATCTCATCAGATTTTGGAAGCCATGCAGGGTAGGCCATGTTAGTACTTTGATGGGAGACCACCAAGGAAGTCCAGGGTCACTGCACAAAGACAGGCAAAAGCAAACCACCTCTGAACGTCTCTTGCCTTGAAACCCCCACGAGGGGTTGGCATAAGTCGGCTGCAACTCATTGGCACTTGGCACGCAAACAGATCCATATCTTAAAATCAGGGGGGGCACTTATACCCATTTGTGCCTGAGTCTGGCAGAGTGGGGCAAGTGGAATTTGGTCACAGAGAGGGAGAGCCCAATCCCATCCTCCCCCCTACTCAACCACCAGGCCGGTAATTCACTAACCTGCCTGCCTGCCTGCTCCCCCTCTCCTGCTCCTCCTCCCTGATCTTCTTGCCTTCAGAAGAAAGAAGAGGGTTGGTGTCAGCAGCCTTGATGGCAGAGGGGGTGATTAGTAGCAGCTAATCCCACCCACTTATCTGCAACACTGTTGCCACCTCAGTGGGGGACAGGGCAGATTCTGCTCCTCCTCCCCCCCCCACAGAAGAGAAGCAGCAGTAGCAGGGCTTATGTCAGCTGCCTCAGTGGCTGGGGGGAGTGACAGCTCTCACTCCTCCCCTGCCTGCCTGCCTACCCGCCTGCCTGCCTACCCACAAAGGAGTGGCAGTGTCACTAGGGCTGTTATCAACGGTGGGCTTTCCATTCAACTGGCTTTTCCTGCTCCCCACTTCCCTGCTCACAGGAGGTTAATGTTTTCTATTCCTCTGTTTGGCATGGGGGGGGGGAGGAGACATGTTTTTCTGCAAACCTTAGTGGTCCCTTAGGGCTGCAGAAAAGTATCTCCCATCTGACCCTGGCTCCATTCTCAGGCCTATCGATCCACATGAGAGCCAGTCCCAGAATTAGATACAAAACAGCTTATATGAGTAAAAATACACTCAACTCACAATCTGTATATCTGCAAAATGGTACCTATTAAATCAACAGATTAATTCACTAAAATAACACTATAAATCAACAAATCTATTTACATAAACTGTTGCTATATTAAGGCCTTATCTACCAGCTGGCCTCCCTACTGCTGTCACATGACTGGTTTCATTGTATTAATTTAGATTGTTGTATTTATTGTTGTGAGCCACCCTGAGCCCGCTTATGGGAAGGGCAGGATATACATTAAAATAATAAATAAATA